GTTAATTGTACTTACAGCGGGAACAAACAAAGGTGAAAGCATTTTTTTCTCAGTAGCATCCCAATCCCACCCAGAAAACCAAGGATGGGCCATAAATTCATCAAATCCAGAAGGCGTGCATCCTAATCGTTGAGAAACGTCTCTTTGAAGAAGTGAACGAAGGAAACTAATGCAATCAGGTGAAACTTGGCATTGTTGTTTAGTTGCAAGATTCACAGCGGGAATAATTAAGTCGCTATGTAAAATTGCGTGTGTGATTGACTCACTGCTACCTCCTCGAAATGGTCTCTGAACAATTAATTATAAATTTTTATAAAATATCCTGTTTATTATCTTTTAAACCTCTTACCTTTCCGTAAATACATTCATATAAAACAACACCTAAACTCCACCAATCCACTTGCCAAAGATACCCTTTATTCTTGAAAACATCTGGCGCTGAATGGAAAGATCCAAATTAGCCATTATAATGAAATAAATAAAATAAAATAAAAAAGAGGTACAAATATGATACCCATATATGCAAGAGTCCCAGAATGACTTTTTAACGGTTTATTTTTGGAATAATGTACAGCGATATTAAAATCCGTAATATGAATATGACCAAATTCATCCAAAAGTAGATTATCTGGTTTCAAATCGCGGTGAACAATTCCTTTGGAGTGAAGATATTTCAAAGCTAATCCAAGTTCAGCAGCATAGAAGCGAACAGCGTTTTCACTGAAACCACCGAGTCTATCTAAATGGTATCGAATATCCCCACCAATCATCAAATCTAACACCATAAACATGTTTTCATCATCTTGAAATGCAAACCTCAAATTCACCAAAAAAGGATGATTTACTTCCTCTAGAATTGCTCGTTCTCGAAAAATGTTTTGAATTGCATTCATTTTAATGCATTGCATTTTGTTGATGTATTTCAAAGCAAACAACTTTTTGTTGTCCTTCTTTTCTACGATTCTGACCTAGTTTTCAAAAAAATAAAATAAAATTAAAAGGTAAAGTCTAATTTTGCGATATCACTATTACTCTTCCAAAGGCACCCTTGCCAACGACTCGCATAAGCTGGAAATTACGTAACTCGACTTTGGGAGACGATGTTGAAACAGAAAAAAAAAATATTACCAACAACCAAAACAATTGGGCATAAGCAAAGTATTATCGCAACAGAAACAAAACATACGTTCCCCATCATACGCTTCTTTTCCAAATACGTTTCCCATGAAAACCGAGTTTTGAACACAACAAGTTGCGTCACCTTGTGGGAAAAGATTTGGTTCAGGTACAGAATTTGGTTATTTTTTTTCGTTGTTTGGACTTTCCCTCTGTTTTTGTATAGATTATTAGTAGATCACGTTAATTTTATATGTCATCGGTACTAACTTCAAACATTGTCCTTATCACCCCAAATATCAATCACCGGACAGCCTGATTGTATGCTTACTGTGATTATAGTAAAATTTCAAAGTCCAAAAATAGATATTGAATGTGATTCAAGGAAACTTCTCATTTTATCTAATTTAATTTAAGGAAATTTCTCAGGAGTAAGTTTTTATCGAATTAAAAAAAACTATCGAATTAAAAAAAAAGGTGGTTTGCACCATAATGATACAAGTGAGTCCACAACCAGGATTTGAACCTGGAACCTGCTTGTATCAATAAAGCTGCTCGACTGAGCTTTTAAAGGGCCACAACCAGGATTTGAACCTAGGTCCTGCTTTAATCGATGAAAAGCTGCTCAACCAGACTGAGCTTTTGTGGATAAAAAAAAATAAGAGGAAATTCTACAATCAGGATGCCTAAACCAGCTACTGATGCACTCTTCCATTTGAGCTATTGTTTGGATTTAGAAAAGGAAAAAAATATGATTATATAGAAGAAATTAGCCTGGGAACAATAATGAAAATTAACTCTGTGTTGCGAAAGAGGTTAGCTAACGTGCGTACTAAGAAATAAACTATAAATATAGAAAAAGCAAACAGGATTCTGTGT